TTGCACAAGACATTGACTATTTGATAGGGATACAGATATCAAAGGGCAAAAGCACGAGTAAATAGTGAGTCAAAAAAACATACCAAAATGGTAATTCTATGGTTGTTTTGTTCTACAACAAATGTTTTTGCTTTCATAATTGAATGTGATTAGGGAAATCTTTTTATCTCATTTTTTTAATCAAAATGTCATGATAGAACCTTTTTTTCATAAAATGATTGATCGTCATCTACAGAAAAGAATCTTTGTTGTATCATACCAAATAGCTAAATGAAATATGGTTGCTCACGTCAAAAGTTGTGGAAGCGGCTGAGTAGTGCACATCTTCCAATAATTGAAAGTTATTCGTTATTATCCAGTAAAACTAGCAAGGCTCTTGTAATTTGTGTGACTCCAATCTGACATTTTCTTACCCTTATTAATCTTGGAATCCTTATGCGATCTCTAATTGACATATAAATAAACAAAACAAAATTAGAAGCTGCTCGAGTACATAAGACAGAAATTTAAAGATTCAAAAGGCAAAGAGATATCGAACTATTTTGAAATATATCAAACAACTTGCTTATGGTATACAGTTAAGTGAGATATCAGATAGACAGCTTATATTTATCTTGACCTCTTCAGCTCACATGTCATTCGATATTAGACATGTGTAATATTTAAGTCATTGACAAAACGAATGTTGGAAGTTAACATAACGAAGACAACAAATGAGATTGTGACTGAGTCATAGAACTATTGTTTTTTTTTAAGATAACCTATCACGACTGAATCACACTTCAAACCTTTATTTACATTTACTTTTTTTTCAACAAAAAATCTTTTCAGATGTAATTAAACCACTTCTAAATCATAATAAAAGAAAAGAAAGCTCATTCTTTAGTAATTGTGATATAAAGTTATTGTAAGATGCGAGAACTATTTTGTCGTCAGAATACAACAGATAAAACATCCCTTTCGAACTTCCATATTTATACTAGAATATATTAGTCTGTTAAAATGAAATGAAGTTTATGCTGAATATAATTATTCATGTCATACAAAACATCAAATAATTTCTTGAGAAAGATACACGGTGTAATTGCATAAGTCAGATCATTTCTCAACGTCAATTACATTTCAATCTAGATAAAACTTTTATGAAAATATGAAATTAGTGTCCAAATATGTTGGATTCTGATTGTATACAAAATAATTGAAATTTTGCATTGTCTCAACACACAAGTATTTTTGTTTTCAATTTCGCTTATTTATAGTTCATGTTATATGGATAAAAAAAAACTTTCATATATAAGCTAAATGAAACCGTCATTTTGTTGCACAATGTCTTGCAAATTCTTAATGATAGTTTATAAACTTACTTGGAATTTATTTTATACAGATTTCTTTCTTCTATAAAACATTCAATTTTATTTTACCAGTAAATTTTCCTTGCTGGCATGGACTTTAGTAAATTCGCAACAAGTTAATTATTCTACGGAGATTCTTTTTTTTCCTTTGCAAGTCTTTTCTAAAATTATGTCAGCTTTATGATTATCAGATCTGACATAGGATATAATATATTCTACATAAAACATTATAGAACACTCTGACTTCACTTCTTTGACCTTTCTATCTGTTCCTCCTCGATTATGTTACAGAAATAGATGAACTATTTAAATATGTGTGTGTGACTTTGATATTTCATTAGAGAAATACGTTTTTCAACGTCAAAACTAATGCAATTCAACATGAAAATTACTTGTGAACAAATGAATATCGTTTAAATTTATCTATGAAGAAAAAATAGAATTAGAAAAAATCTACAACAAATGCAATATTTTTTCAGCTGTTACACATTTAATTATTCCAAATTATTCTGCATTCATAATTCCCGAGCTTTGAAATATACTAGTAAAAATATAGAATATAACGGAATATATTCTGACATCAGTCGATCTTCTATTAAATATTTTTTCAAGTATAATCGTGAATTTTCATTGTAATTAAATAGTCAATTTCAGAATTGTCAATCGTTTACATTTTGAACAAACCAAAGTAAATTCTGTTTGAAAATCTATTATGGCAACATTGAATCAATTCAAAATTAACGCTTGAATATTTCCGTGAAATAAGGTTGAAATGTTATTTTTTCAAAGACTTTAATACAAATGTTTAAGTTAGAATTCTGTCAACAAACTTATCGTTTTTTATGAAAGTGAATATTAGACAAACAAAAAAAATCTATATATATCCGGTCATTTTTATTTACACATCGATTCTAAGACCAACTTAGACTTAGACTGAAATATGTCAAATATCTATCTAAGTAAAATAAAATTGCTGAAGAATAAAACTCAGACAATTAAAACAAACGACGCAGTTACTTTTTAAGTATAATCTACGATCATTCCACATTATTTCAAATAACACTGCAATCTTTTGTTTACCATCCTTCTTTAAGAGAACCTTCAATGCTTTTAATTTGATCATTTCTAACTTATTATTCAGAAAAAGACAGAGAACCATTTGAATTTTTTCTCATGCCAAATAGTAAAAATATTTCGCTTTTGTTTAGTAATACTATCACTCAAAAAAAGTCAAAAGAAAAATATCATGATTTTATGATGCTGAAGTTGTGCTTTTGACGACTTGTCTTCTATTAATGGATGTAGACAGTGGCGCATCCGGGAGAGGTGAGGATGATGACTGCCTTCACCTTTGAAATTGATGTGTCCTATATCCTAAGTATTTTTCTATTTCGATGAGATTTACGCAAACAAATAGTATGTTTTCCAATTATTTCTAAGTTTATAGTGCTTCTATTCTGAAATGAACGACTCTAGAGAAGAACAACAAGTTATATACATATATATTCTACGTAGTGTTATTACTTCTATCAAATACTCTTTCTTTTGTTAGATATGACTTTCTATTCCTGTCACATAGCTGATGAACGCATATACAGTTGAACATTGGAATAAGAAACGGTCATGTCAACGATTCATTTGTGCTCGCTCTACCGATGATTAATAAGTATTGAATTTACTAAAACCGTCTACATAATTCATGTTTCGAATCATGTTCGATGCAGCGGTATCTTCTTCCCGAATATCAAAGTTCCTTTTTAAATTAACGCGACGTCACCGGTGGCAACCATAGACGAGAGAAGCTTTTTTGACATTAAAGCTGACAGAATCATATCGTCTAAGTGCCATGATTGAACATCAACTGAATGGACTAACTATCATCTATGTGCGTTTCATCATTTGCATAAATATCGAACAAGTCATCGACAACTTCTCAAAAATGCAAAGAATAGAAAACTAGAATTTTTCGTATGATTCATTTCTCAGTTATTTTTGTTTCCGTAGATCGTAGCATATATTTGAATAGTTCATCATAGAGAATATAAGAAAAATCGTCATGAAAATTGTGAATAACTTGATCATGTTTGTCACCATCTTCAAAATTTTCTGGATAGGCCCTTGAAGGTAGGTAAAACGCCTGTTTCACATCTCGTTATATTTTAAAAATGCAAAAGATTGTTAAATTGAAAAGAAATTGATATTGAATAATATCATTTCAAATTTTTTCGAACACGAATAAGATTTCTTGCGAAAACTACAAAGTATAATTGTATAAATCATGTCGTTATTCAACATCAATTATAAATGAAATCTAGATTAAGTCTTCTATATAGTATGAAACTGACATGTGCAAATGTTAATTTATCCGTCACAACTGTCATTCTATTCCAACTCAAGAATGTCATGTTGTACGGTGAAATGAACTTAAAGTTTTTCGGCTTAAAAAAATAGTACAATACCAATTGATCGTCAATGTTTTTTTCAACCAACTTCAACTGATCACATAAAAGTTTCAGCATAATCATAATTGCATTCAAATATATCCTTATATGTTCCTCATGATTACAATCCTTTATATGTCTGTATGATTCTGAAATAACGAAAAAACAATGTTTATATCAAGAAGAAAGTACTAAAAAATATTCATCACGCATAATGCAAATTACTAATTGGATCGTTCACTAACAAATATTTTTTAAATACTATTTTTACTCACATTATAAGAAGTCTTTCATATTTTTATACTGCTCAGCCCTTTGCATGATAGAAATTTTTCAAAGCAACCTTTACCAACAATATAGTATCCTTAAAGAAAAGTGATAATCTTTTATTAAACAATTCAGCTGGTAATTCAATAACACAGCGACTATATATAAACATGAAAACGGAATTGGATATTAAAAATGCTTATTTGTTATGATTAGGCATCAAATGAAATCCTTGGTGAGTTTCGAGAATGAATTGTTCAATTGGCTTCATTTCTGGAACATGAATGACATATACTTCTAACGTCACTCTTGGTACTGAGAATGTCTCATATCGTTGGATTTTGTTTGTCGTTGATGAACACGTGTTTGGTCGCATATCATTTTTTCCAATTATTGATTTTGTTCGAGGTTGAAAATATGTTTTATATGCCGTTGATTTCAACTTTTTTGTCATTGAATTTGTTTGTGGTACACTTTCGAATTTTCGTTTGATTTCATCATAATTAAAAAAATATTCTTCATTGTTTATCATTGTATTGTTTGTGTTACTCGAATACTTCGTCTCTATGCTTTTCAAAATTGAAAAAATGATGACTGCTTATATGCGATCATGAATATAATGAACATTAATGACTGTCATAAAAAAAAATAGACTGGTATTGTTATTCTCATCTGTTATGCTTATTCATTCATTAATATGTTCTGCTAATTATTTTGTTACGCATTTTATCAGGAATGACGAATGTGTAATAGTTTGGTGTGATTAATTATCGTCGTTGCTAGAATCAAGTGTTTCAACTAAGAATGAGAAATTGAGGGAAAGCATAGCAAGGAGAGAGAGAGAGAGAGAGAGAGGGGGGGGCGAAGAAAAACAACAACAACAGTAAGAATCCGAACAACAGCACAATTGACAGAAAAATAAAAGTTTTTCAAACAAAAAATGTTGAATAATGCTAACAACGGCGTTCTTACAACAAGAAATGTTCGATCAAAACCTTCTCAACGTAGGATATTTAATAATATGGTAAAACGTAATCAATATTATGAAGATGTTGAAAAAATGAAATATCGATTAGAGAAATTTGTACCAAATATACAACAAGTTAATCAAACGGATGCAAAACGAGTGAAGACAAAGAGAGTTTACCAACGAAAAGTCACTCAGGATCTTACTGAATCTAAAGATTTAAATTGGCGACGCAAGTAAATCTTATTAGAAAAGTATTTAATGCGCTATTAGAATTGCATTATATTTTAGAAGTCAAGAATAGGATATAAAAATGACTCAGTTGAATGTTATTTATTAATGTCGTCATTATGAAAAAAATTATCACTAGAATATTTATGAAATCGGAACACAAAAGGTCGAATGCCATTGTTTCTATTCTAAATGAAAAGACTCTTAGAAACGTTTCTCGAGTTTTTGCAAGAAAAGCATGTGAACTGGATTGCATGATAAAGCTCCTCATACTCATTTTTACTCACAATGTTGTATCAAAAAGTTCTATGAAAAAATGTTTTAGCATAACAATGAGTAACCAAAGAGGGATACACTTTGAACTGACATAGTGAGACTTTTAAATAAAATATTGTTAAAAAGAGTATCTTCCGTACATCTTGTAATGTAGTAAGTTATCATAATTTTTTCTTGTTGTTTTGAAAAATATTTATTAAAAGAAGTTATGAAAGGCGTTGAATTTCAGTAGATTATCCTTGAATTTTGGATGTGAATATTCTAAGATTTTTTATGTAAGTTTAGACTCATTTCAAGTCTGTCAATAGTCGAAAGCATATATGAGTACCGTAAATTGATAGATGTTGACTTCAGCGAAACGTGAAAAAATTCCAGAAAAAAAAGTTATTACAATTCAATTTTTTAATTTATTCGAAACTCAACAACGTCAAGTATCTAATAACAATTGAAGCCTTTCACATATTGATTAGTTTCACGTCATTCTCGATAGAGAACAGAATCGAAATGCTCATTTTCGTTGTCTACTATCAAAGGAATAGTGTTCGAGTAGAACAAGTATATTCTGATGACTGAAGGAATAGATATTTTTGAAGTTCTCTTCCACGTAAATAAATAAAAATTCATATGAATTAAGGAAGTGGCTATAATCTCTTTTGCAATGCACCTCTATTTAGACAAGAATTACAACATTTACGAAGTGGTGAACATAATGGTGAACGTGATTTAATACATCTCAATCGTGATCCAGTTAAAATATCATCGTCACCTTCGATTAGTCAATCTTCCTTACTTTATCAAAATAAAAAATCACGTTTATCATCAATTACCGAAGAAAATTCATTGACACGCATTATAGAAAACCCCACATCAGCTCTCGGACGTTCATCATTAATAAATCGAAGTCAAACATCACAGAATCATATAATACCAATTCAAAAACGATCACCAATGAATAAAATAAATTCAAGCTATCAACATGATCGATGGTTACGTAAATACAGTTTTCAACAAAATATTGCTAAAACAAGTGATGATCGTTTTTATCTCCAACAACGTGCTCATCTAATTAATCAACAAAAACGATTAATTGAACAAAAATTAAAAGAATTTTTACATTGATTTTAACTATACTGTCCTTTTTTTGTAACAATAACATTACCCTATTTGGCGTCAAGATAGTTGATTATCTATTGAAAAATTCACGAACAACCGTTCAATCATTTTTTTCTATCGTTACATATGTCGACGAAACGGCTTCGATTATAACACGAAATTGTAAAAATTTAGGGAATGATCTTTCACAATGTGATTTTCCATTAAAAGACATCAACGCATTACACAGTTCGGGTTTTCTATTCTATCCTATTATTCAGGCATGTAGCCAGAAATACTTAGAAGGAGAGAGCGCCATCAGAGAAAAGTACTTTTTGAGTAATGAAAATGAATCAGTCCATACTCCCCTCTAAGTATTTCTATCTTTAAGGGAGGGAGAGAGGGGTTAATTTCCCAATCTCGATACCGGCTGCGTCCCTCCTATTATTTACAAGTTAAAGTAATCATCTATTATTTCCGTAAAAAGAACTTGAGTATTTTGGTAGTCTCAGCGAGAGTTTCTAATACAAATTTTTTTACCATTGCATGATGGGTGACTGTGTTTATTATATTTAATCCGCAGTTGTACGATGAAAAAGAAAGTATCAGTAGGAAAAATTTATTTTTGAAAGAATATAGTCGATTAGATGCTAAAAGCTTGGTAAAACTAAGGATAGCACTATTTTTTCCATACAAAAGATAGATCATTCGCAACGTATATTGCTGCTGATAAATGACATCTGTTCAATTCGAAGTGTATAATAACTTTGGCTATTGATCTCAAAATTACTTGAAAGACTACATTTGTTGACGACAATACAGTGTATATAGAAAGAGGGTATTGATCAAGTTGTATAGTGATGTTGTGAAGGTCTAACGATGACGTTGAGGATTTGAATCTGTACTTCATTCGAAATCTCACACCCTCATCCTCCATTCACTTAAAACACCATGTAAAGTAATACTCGAAACAACAATTTTTTTCAATTATAGAAATTCAATAGGTTTGACAGCTATATCGAATTGTCAATTCCTTGACAAGAATCTGGTATTCTAACACGATAAATTTTTAAGTTGATGGTTGTATGTCTTCTTTTTACTCACACTATTTATCCATCACGCAAATGATCGAAACTGTCGATGAAAAAAAATTAAAATTTTGAATTGTCTAAAGTTATATGTACTCTTTTAGCACATGTGAATCGCAAGAAATATTTCATAGTGTGTCCGATTTTGATATTTTATATCGTTTCGATCGAAAGATTCAAGCTTCTCAAGCTTATACCTAATGTTTGAGATAGAGATCGAAAATTTTAGGTTGGGTGCATCTCTAGTCCTGGTCTGATGTATGTCCATTTGTTTTATTTACCATCCTTGCTGTTCTCATTCGACTTTGTTGAGAAAAACAACGACACGATTATATATCTGTCCAGAACTCACATTCTCTGAGAACGCTTAATGACACCCGGTGATTATTTTGATATAAAGTCTTTGATATTGTTGACAATTGATCAAGATAGACCAAACGAATCACATTTAGAGGTGTAACAATTCCTGATTTTGTATATCTAAGATCATTTATGTGCGTTACTTAGAACCATTAAAACTGAACCATTTTCTGAATGAGACTTTGCCCATTTTTTACTGCTTTCATTGATGCAATTGTAGTAACTGATCAAATGGAATTTAAAGGTATTATAATTGATCGACATCGACTATAAATCTTAAATTTTCGACAGATTCTTCCACGGTTAACTCATATTTCGTGTAGTACGACAATAACATGAGATGAAACAGTGGGAAAGTGTGAATAAGTGAATGAAGATATTGACTGATATTTAGTCAAAAAGAAATATAAGATTGAAGTTCATCGGATCAGTTGGAATTGAAAACTTGAGTTTAGCTTATGTGTAATAGTCTATGGAGAGTCATAGTCTGATGGATCAACGAATGATCTTCATGCTCCGCGTAACAAGAGACAATCATGTCGCCGATAATTAAAGTAGTCTTCTTAATCCATGGAGCACATGCATTAGTTCGTTTTACATTATGATCTATTCGAATTACTTCTGTTTCTTTGATGGTTACAGTAGAATGTGCTTATATCGAGAAAACATTATTCCCTGGATGAAGTCGTGATGTTCATAGATATCTTGATGAACTTATATTACATCACCAATGCATAAGGATCAAATGTGAAGGAGTTATTTCTAAAATCGATCCCGTAGTTGACACTGGAAGATGATTGATCAATATTCCTTGTTGTTTGAGAACGAAAAATATCACGACAGAACTGTAGTTGTGTTCAGAAAAAAGAAGAGAATCACCAATACGTACATCCCGCAACATTACGAGTATCATCCCCTCGACAAACAAGACTTGCTTTAGAAAGACAATTTTCTTGAAGCAAAAGAAAATGTGTAACTATAAAACAAGTCAAATCATTTACTTGATGGTACTGTCGTGGTCGAACTTGTTGATGACATAGTTGTTCCAGTCGTCGAATTTAAGTTTCTGTCAGTCGGTGTGGATATTACTGCTATACTTGTTGTTTGGACGGTGCTTCTAGTTGTGAAACTAAAAAATGATATTGTAGTTTGAAGAGGAGAATAATCGACGAGAAGAACAAATGAAAGCAGCAACATGTGTGAAATTGCTATTTCACACCAAAAACAAACGCTGAGTATTTATATTACTAAAGAATATAGATATATCAATAATACTGCTTGCGGAAGAAATACTTGCTCTAGAGATTCTAGTACTTCAATATATTTTTGGTCGTTTGTTCATCTTTTTATTCATTCTCTTTCTCTCTTCGATTGAGTTTCAATTGCATCTAGAAGAACAGAGAAGTGGACGTCTGAATGATTTCTTGAAAAGAAAACAAAAATTTGACTAAATGAATATGCACCAATTTCTACCTGAAAGCATCCAGAGAGAAAACATGATTATTTGCTATTGGTAGAGATACCAATCGATCTGATTACAAAATTGTCCGCTTGCTATGAAGAACATTCTTTTGTGTATCATTTTTTAACCCATGTGCAAGACGTTAAAATAGTATGCTGTATTAGCAGCATTTTCTTTTATTTTTCTGTCTGGCTTACAACAAATACAATTTCAGCATCATATATTAGTAGTATAGAGAGTAAGCAAGAGAGTGAACACATAATGCCAAGTCACATACATCGTTGACAAAAGTATCAGTAGACGAAGGTGAGCATTAATTCACTCACCTTTCTTCATCTAATTCTTGCTCCTCATAGAAGCTAAAAAGAAAAATTCATTAATGATGCAATGATATGCTTACAAATAGTATAGGATACTAACTGAATAGAAATTTCGCAGAACGTCAAGATAACTTTTCTGATTGCCTGTTCGCTTGAGATGTGTGAGGTCCTTGAAGCAGTATCTAGATAGAGATATTTCGAGCGGAGATCTGAGCAGAGATCAAACTATCTTGGAAAACTGTCACTTTGCTCAGTAGTTTTAGCGTTTTAATATTTTTTGCTCCCTTATATATATATTCTAGAAAAACCGTAAGGAGCCATGTATCAAGACACAACTAGAAATGTGTCGTCGATTATGTTACTTAGGTGAATATGTTGAAAATGTATCGAAGATCTCAGATAGTTGAAACTAGCAGTATAAGAAAATTTATTTTGACTTTCTGTGATATTTCTACTCAATTATAATCTGCTGCGTAACCATATTCTGCGCTGTCATTGAGCATACTAAAAACGAAAAAAAAAGATATAAATGAAAAGAATACGTACCAGCCAAGAGTACCGAGAGTAGAATACGGATGAACCAGTGTAGCAGTGCGTTAAAAACTTACATGAGAAACATGACATAGATACTACTAAGACGAGCGCGAAAAAAAAGATTGAAGCTTCGCTCAATTTAACATAAAAAAACTAAATAAGGAATCATTTACAAGAGCTCAAGTTCCTCATTTGTTTAGTGAATTTTCAGACCAATGGCGGTATTGCTTTCATTATGTGGTCATGACGAGAGACAATGAGATTTATTTTGATCGATGAAAAAATGATCATTACAAGCGGAGATCAGAAGTTCAAGTTTGAAGTTTTCTTTTCCAATTCACACCAGATATTAAAACACTTCACGATCAATTGAGACAGCTATCATATAAATGCATCTATGTTCACATATACTGGAAACGAAAAAATTAATATACAGTGGAAAAACATTTTACTATAGAGGAAAATGATCGAAAAGAGAAGAAAAATACGGTTCATTGAGACAGTTGTTTTTTTTTCAAGTTGATTATTAGATTACTTGTCCACCCAGGCATGCAAAAAATTCACAGAGGACGCCCAACATGACTAGTCTCGAATATCTGCAATACCGTCTGGTCAAGTCTGAGATAACCAGCGATTCATCACGACTGGTTATCTTGACGAAGTATGTCGTGTAACTAAATATAGACTGGTCCAGACTTCTCAGTAAAACAGAAAGTCCAGCAAAAGAGATGATGACAGGTGGATTCGAATATTGAATTTCATAAAATTGAATGCCTGACTAGTCTGGACGATTTTCAAAAATGATATGGATTAGTGCGAAACGTCATCTTTATCGTCCATGACTATAGAGTTGATGAACACGCTCGAATCATTTTTCAGCTCTGTATGAGAAGTGAGTATTCAAGAATAGCTCACAATACTTTCAAATTTGCTCATTGAATTCTTCTAAGTTAAAGTATATCCAAAAGGAATTTTTTTCACTAGGTTCAACTAGAAGTATTTGCCGGCAAGGTATCACTGAACATAATTCCTAAAAATATTACTTTATATTTTGTTATATAATTTGAATATACTCGGAACAGTAAAAGCTGGATAATTAAATTTTTATCGTCCATATTACTTTTTGAATTCTATCTAACTTGAACGTCTAAATGAAATCAGAAGAAATATATATTCGAGTTATAAGACAAACAAAATTTGACATGTCATCGTACAAAATGAGTGGATATACTAGTTTTTGGTATTCCAATCCATTTTTCTCTA